CTGACACTGTGTGTTACAAAGGTAAAAATGTGCTGCAACATTTCATCATGCATTTCTGCTATAGAATGTTTATTTTAAAATGTAAGCTGCCATGAGTTTTATCTATTTTCACAAGCATTTAATGTTTCATTATCCATTGTCTGTGGGGTTTTTCAGGCTGGAAGAGCAAAGATTCAGTTCCTAAACTTGTTGCTGACTACATGAAGAAAAAATTTGTTCTGGATCCATTAATAACCCACACACTTCCTTTCATTAAAATCAATGAAGGATTTGATCTGCTAAGGACAGGGAAGAGGTAAATGTTTAATTGTAAAGGTTCTATATAAATAACCTAAAGGAGCTGTGTGGTAATGCAGAGTATGACTTCATGGTAGAGAACAGGGGAGGCAACCCACTGTGCCCCTTAATCTAGCCCAGTCTGTGTTAATGGGTTGCAGCTGTAGTACCAAAGCCAGCAAAGCTTTAGCTTTTAAAGTGCAGTGCACCCTGTCTCTCCTTGCAGAGGAACTTCTCAGATTCTAGTTTGATCAAAGACTCTAGGTGACAGAGAGAGAAAAAACACAAAAATGAAGAAGCCTCTGCCCACTTAACCCATTGGATAAGAACACACAACCAAGAGAGCCTGGGAATGCCAAACCGTAGAGTGCCAGGGGTTAGCTACATCACATTCTGACAAATGTTTTAGGATGATGAGTAGGAACACAGAAAAAGCCTGTATTTACTGGAAGAGCAACTCACCATTCAACTTGAGAGTTAGGGAACACAATCCCACTGCAATTAGTCCTGAAGTCCCTGGGTAGTTTACCTTGAACTTCAGAGCTTTTCAAAAAAGGGAAGTACTTGGTGCAGACACACACACATACATATATACACATTGAGTAATGTTCTCATGCATTCTTCAAATATTGTGAGAGTTCAGCTCAAACTCTGTTGTCATACAGTGTTGCAATCAGAAATAGTTTGCCAGAGACATTTGGCAAAATTCACCATATGAAAAATTGAAAATTCTCCTTGGCAGAAGAAAATACATTTTTATGTGGGGCCTACCCTTTTTGAAAATTCCAGTTGTTTATTACTCACATAGTCTGCAGAATTACATTCATATTTTCTTTTCTTTGTCATTTGCTTGCAGTTATTTTAGGTATTACTTGCTCTAGATATATAAAGCATGTAACAGAATAACATAGCCCTTGAGGTTTGTTCTCAGGTTCTAACTATGCAGCTCACATTTCATTTTTTTACTGTCCATTATTTTAGATATGCTGTAAATGTTAGTTTTAAATTTTAGTGTAAAAAATAGGGGTAAGTGGTAAGGACAGAGATGCCATCAGCTTTGCTAAAATACTGACAGTCAACCTGAAGACAGAGGCATGTTGCAGCTGACCATTTTTTTTAAGTGAAGTACTTCCATGTTTCAGCCCAGAATAAGCTCATTCAGAGGTTACCCTTAGAGCCATTTGCAATTCGAAAGATGTCTAAGCCCCACTTCTAAGGATTTCCCAGGCTATATTAATTGATTAATTGTCAGGAGCACTGAGGTTTTGTAAGTGAAAGCTTTGCAGTCTTGCATTAATTTTGTTCTCTGTATCTGTAGCAAGGTTTGCATATCTGCTCTGCCATTTTGCTGCAAGCTGGGGCTCAGGGAGGACAGTGACAGAGTACCCTGGTTGACAGCAATAGCCTAGATTTTCAGAGAAAATTGTTTTGCTGATCTTAGTCCAGGGGCTTTTCTAAAGGCACTAACTTTTCATTTTATATTGCAGCATTCGCAGTGTCCTGGTGCTTTAGAATTCCCAATTATTAAGCAGCAGGAGGCTCAGCACCAGAACAAACTTCGTTATCCTCCAATACAACCAATACAAAATACTAATCAAGACATTTATGAAAGGTCTACCATGACCACCCTTGAATAAAAGGATCAAGCTCAAACCCGACTGCAAGAACAGCGTTTATAAATTATCTTTTTAATCCTTATCCTGATTCTTGCTTTAAATCCTCTGTATCATGCACAATTTTCTTTTAATAGCCAGTTCTGAATTACAGGACTTGCTACTGTCACGGGTGTTAGGAAAGCTTAGGATTTTTTAAAACGGCTTTTAACCTGCAATCTTTCAATAAAAGAAAAATTAAGGAAACTGTTTCTTTGAGCCTTCATAACACTGCAAGCTTAACAGATTCCTGCATGCAGCGCAGCACAACAAATTTGTAGTCACAACTATATATCCATCCCTTATGCTTTTAGCATTCCATTACGCTGATAGGCAAGTAAATTACTGCAGAGGTTAAAATCTATGGTGACCACATGTTTGAATTATTAATTTCAGTAAATTATTTTTAAGTAAATCATAGACAAGTACTGGAGAATGTCTCTCCACTGGATATTTTACCAAATTTACACTTACAAACATTTTACATAAAACTGCTGGGGTGTCTGTGTTGCTGTTTGGTTGGGGTTTTTTTTAGCTTTGTACCTCTTTTTTTTGGGATGTTTTCATTATTTTATCAATATGATTTTAGATCTTTGGCCAATTTATACAAGTGTATCTGATGCTTGAGAAATAATGTGCATCAAGTATTGTTATTTGTTTCCACTAAATAAATGGGAAGTTTCTTAATGTTTAAGTGAGAATACAGAGTACGTGAGAAGTACCAGGTGACTAGTAATAGTTTGCAAGAAAGCAAATATAAGGCATCTTACTGCTTTCTGCATTTGTAATAGGGAAACAGGAATAGAGGCTGTTTCTATCTCAGCAAAAATGGTCAACACTGACTTTTCTTTTGAAAGTCTAATCAGCACTTGCAGGCACTCATGTGCATGGTAGCTGAGCAGAAGAGCCTGTAAAATAAAGTGGAGTGTGTGCTAATGATGACTGACTTGTTTGTGTTAGCAGGAAGAGTCCTTAAGTGGCCCAGCAAAGTTAATTATTTGAGGATAAGTTCACTAAGAGATTAGACTTTAACAGAAGATACTTAAACATGTGTGCATAATAAACTCAGTTTACACAGCATTTAAGACCCAAACTTCAGTAATTTGTTTCAGGACTGAAGATATTCTCTGGGTATTCTCTAGAGTAATTCCTTTCAGGTGCAGTTCAGTTGAAGAGTTCTGATCTCTTTCAAGGCAGGCTGTGTGTGAACCAAAAGTGTAAAGTGGATTACTATTCAAAATAGAAGGAGATGGGTTTTAATTCTACTTAATGGAACACATCTGTAGTAACAGAGTCAGCACAAACAAGAACACAATATCTCAATTCTCACGGTATTTTAACAAAGCATTTTCTGTGGAGGCCAAGCTACTTTATTGTACCAGCTAAGGTATGTTTAACACATGGCTTACACAGAAGCCAAAGAAGGCCTGTTTAAACCTAGCTTGTGAGGACAGAAAGGAGTCAGGTAAAGTATCAGCCAAGTGCCAGATGCATGATTTTTTCCAATGTATTCCTTACTGGATGAAGAGTAGAGAACATAACAACAGTCTTCAGAGTAGAAGAAGAAGAAAAAAAAATGAGCTAGGGAATAAAGTACAACAAATGTCCTTGCTTCTGATCTCTTTGGGACCATGCAAACCTTTCTCATTTCTATTGTTGTAATCTGCCAAGCATAGTAAACACCTGCTGTTAGTATCTATATTAGAATAGTTACTGGGTCCAAAACAATAAACCCATTAACTCATTCTTCCTAGGAACAGGCATGGCTGCCTATAAGGTAGCAATCTAGTTCTGTCTTCTCATGGAGGAATGAAGTGACTTCTGACTCTGGGGAATGACAAATACTTCATACTACCCTAGAGTATTTCTTCCTGCAGATCCCCAGGTCAGCTGAAGATTAATTTGTTTGTGTGATTGTGCAACACATTTCTGACAAACTTTTCCGATGGCTCCCTGATTCTGAGGTATTCCAGATGGGTTCAGGGCCACATGCCGTGGTTCTATCTCAGCCTCCATTATCCTGTGGATAAGCAAGGTCCACATGCCCATCAGAGCATTTCTGTCCATTAGCACATTATGACACTATGAAAAAACCCAATAGTTTCCCAAGAAACAAAATCGTTGACAAAGTAGAAACGGAGTTTCCTCAGACCTTAAACTGTATGAGCATTTACTGAACAGCACTTGGCTTTGTGTACAGCTCAGCACTCTCATGTTTCTGCTCTCCCATTACATCCCACTCACCCAGCAAGTTCCCCAGGAAAAAGCACAGAACAGTTGTGGAGCTCCAGCAGAGTGTGCTTCAGCGTGCACAGACATGTGCTGTGTAATTCTAGTTTATGTGCTTCTAAATCACCCTCCCTGATTGCATCACAGGCAAACAATGGTTCCCATGCAGCATTGTCCCCTCTAATTCTTCCAGGTTATCAGATGGAGACCACAGATCCCACTAATAAAAACCACTGTGCTGCACAGATAACTGGGAGATCACAGGCCAATGTTTTGTAAAAGGCTCGTCACATTGGCTAGTCAGTGACAAATGTGATTCATAAAATCATACCACAAGTCATGACAGATTATTTTTATAAATGCCACAGGCAGAAAAGGCTAAATATTGAAAACCTTAAAAACTTAATTCTAAAAATCCTTACTCCTTGGAAATTATACATCACTGGTACTCACAGTCTGATGGAGGCTTCAAAGAAAACACAAAGAAACCTATAAAAAAGTAGAAGTTTCCTGGGAAAAACTTATAAAGGTCCCTGTATACCTGAAGCACAGATAAAAATAATCCACAAGTGCATGGCTGCTCTAGTGCCAGGAGCTCACCTCCATGACAGGAGCACTGCAGCATCTGGCCATAATCATGTACAGGTTGGGCTTGGCCAGCAGGGTTGGGGAACAAGCTGCCCAGCAGCACTTCTATGTGGCTGGAGCTGCTGTCTCACCACATGACCACAATGTTGTGGGAAAGAGCTCAGCCAGGTGCTGGGGCACAGTAGTCCTGCCAGTCTGCATTGGTGAAGCTACAGATGGGCTCGGAGGATCTGGGACATAAGGGTTTGGATTGCCAAAAGTAGGTGTTGCTGCTGTTGCTGACTATCCCCCTTCTCCCATGAAACAGGGCTGGGACACATGATACTTGAACTTAACACAAGCTGCAGTTCCGTAGGGGTGTACCTGTTCCACGTGGAACCCTATCTGTGAGCCACAGTCTCTCCAGAGGTAGACTTACCCACAGCCACTGTCACTTCAAGGTGTACTGTTTCAGTGTGGCCTTCTCCATGGGCCACACCACCTCCAGAGAAACAGCTGCTCTGGCATGGCCTTACCCACAGCTCATTCAGAAGTGAACCTGCTCCAATATGGCCTTACCCATGGCTGTTAATCCTCCAGGGACTGTACCTGCTCTTGCATGGGCCTATCCACAGCCACAGACTCTTTGGGCTGTCGTGCTCCCATGTGGACTCATCCACAGGTCACAGGCCCTTTGACTCCAGTTCACATTGGAGTTCCAGCCTGTCCAGCACAGAAACAGCAGCAATGTCCTGCTCATCTGCCAGCCCAGGGATACGGCCATTGCTGTTATCACGATGTTTCCAGGCACAGCAGAGTAAAATAACAAGCCGTAAAGGACTACAATAAGCAGCAAAAGCAAAAAAAAGCCACTAACAAGCACAAGACTCTAATTTACAGCAAGGGAAGCAAGCCCCACAGTAAGCACCAGATCCTGCCAATTAATAGCTAAACCACAATAACCGCTATAAAATCTCATTGCCGATTAATAGCTAAACAGCAATAGCTGCTCTAAATTTAATTGCCAATTGATAGCTAAACAGTAATAACCACTATAAATTTGATCTAGCACATTCCAATCAAATCTGTTGTTATCTCAAACTCTTTGAGCCCCACAATCAGCACCAAAAAAAAAAAAAAAAAGACTCGTGGTTTAACTGTAGTTGCAAAATAAACTCCACACAGCCACTGGGTCCCTCCTCCCCAGTGGGATAAGGGAAGAGAATCAGAAGAGTAAAAGCGATACTGTTTCACAAGTAACACAAAAAGTCACACATACAAGCAAAGAAAAACAAGGTATTAATTTGCTGCTTTCCTGTCCGCAGGCAGATTGTTCAACCATGTCCAGGAAAAGAAGGCTCAATTAGGTGTAATGGTTACCTGGGAAGACACACACCATAACTCAAATGTGCCCCTCTTCCTTCCTCTTCCTCCAGGTTTTCATGCAGAGCATGATGTCCTATGGTATGGAATATCCCTTCAGTCAGCTGTGGTCAGCTGGCCCATTTGTGTCTCTCCCCAGTTTCTTCTGCACTCCTATCCCACTTCTTGTTGGTTTGGTGAGAGAAGCAGAAACGGCCTTGAAACACAAATCCAAAACACTGGCCCATACCAGCTGCTATGAAGAAAACTAACTCTATTCCACCTAAGACCAGCACACATGGTAGAGCTGCTGGCCTGCACTGGTGAAGGTAGAGATGGGTCCAGGGGATATGAGAGATGTGCATTTGCCCTCTCTTCACAAAGTGCTCCTGCTGCTGACCTTTCCCATCACCCCATGAAACAGGGCTGGGACACACAGTAGCAAGCTCTCCTGTCCCACCTCCACGGGCTCAGGAAGGTTGTTTTTCAATCTCTGTGCTGTAGGAGGAACCACAAATCCCCCCTCAGGACTTTCCAACAGAACAACACTTTATTCAAACCCCCAGAAAAATACATGGGATAAAACTAGTAAAAAGCACAGAAGCACAGCAAAACTTACATTGAGATTTCCCTTGGATTAATTGTCAGCAAAGAATGAATGGATTGGTGAAACTTGTGCTGTTACCTGTATAATCCCAGAGTGAAGCTGGA